CTGATTATAGAGGCCATTGTGAGACCGGCAATAATACTAGGTCATGTCTTCAACGCGCCCGTAGTTCTTATGAGTTCCCTGGGCGGTTTTCGAGATATTTATGACATATTTGGGGCCCCAAATCATCCGCTTCTTTATCCAGCTGTAACGCGGCAAAAACTTTACGATCTAACGTATTGGGAAAAGTTAAGGGAGATGTACAGCCATTATACCATTGAACGCATATGGAAAGAGTTCGAAGAGAAGGATAATGAGCTGGTTACGAGCGTCTTTGGCACCAATGTCCCAAGTCTAAGCGAAATGATGGATAGAATCAGTTTGATACTGTTGAACGTTCATCCAATTTGGGAAAACAATCGCCCGGTTCCACCGAATATTATTTACGTTGGAGGAATCCATCAGAAACCACAACAGGATTTGCCTTCGGTGAGTATTTTGGATCAACAAATATTAGAATTATATATATCTGCTGTATTAGTTAGTGTTCAATTCATTCAATAAAAAAAAGTCTAAGAAGCTAGGACTAAGAAGAAGAAAGTCACTTAAGTACTGTTATTAGAAAAAATACACTTTATTTGGATTTCGAATGGACTCACAAAATACGATGAAACAATGACGGAACTTACTAATATAAACCGAATAAAGTAATGCACTGTTCTGTTTTCAATGCTTTTAAAATAGATTTTATATTTTATGCGCAATGGAGACATTATAAATAAAACTGGAATCTTTAAATATTTTCAACCAGTTATGTTTTCTATTTCACAGGATTTAAAAGCCTACCTAGATGCATCGAGACACGGTGTTATTTTCATAAGTTTTGGCACCAACGTCATGCCTTCTGCGTTACCACAAGAACGAATCCAAACCCTGATTAAAGCGTTCTCTCAATTACCCTACGATGTGCTCTGGAAATGGGACAAAGATGAGTTGCCCGGAAGATCGAAAAATATTAGAATATCAAAGTGGCTACCACAACCTGATTTACTCAGTAAGTTCGATCAACTCAAACCGTTAGGATAGATAGGTTTTAATATGGATAACATCCAAGCTTAAATGTAGGGAAAAAATAATGTAAAAAAAATGTACCATAAATGTACCATAGAAACTAAAGAGTAAATAATTAATGACAACTAATAAAAACTTTCACGAGTGACTTCCACGGTGAAGGAATAAATAACATCGTGTTATAAAAATCAAACCCGCAAAATTATAATTTGCGTAATTACTGGTGGTAGGACCTCTTGTGAGACCGAACGGGTAGGTACCACCGCCTTGCCTATTTCTGCCGTGAAGCAGTAATGCGTTTTGGTTTGAAGGGCGGGGCAGCCGTTGTACTGTTAAAAGTAAGACCTTAGAAATCATTACTCAAGGTGAGTGGCGCATTTAAGTTGTAAATGTCTATGTTATTTTTATCAAAACAGTTACTCGGGTACATCAGATCAAAGTCAGATTAGATATTAAATTGGAAGATAAACAGTTCGATTGGATGATCTTGTATCCCCCGAGTGTTTGTCATTATTTAAGTTTTCGTTACATTTTTAGGGCATCCAAAGGTCAAGCTATTTATAACTCAAGGCGGTCTGCAGTCAACGGAAGAAGCGATCACGGCTGGAGTACCCCTGATTGGGATGCCGATGTTGGGAGACCAGTGGTACAACGTGGAACAGTACGTGAAACATAGAATCGGATTAAGACTGGACATGGACGATCTTTATGAAGATAAATTACAGAACTCCATTAAAGAGATAATTAACGATGAAAGGTAAATATAACGTAGATCATGTATTACAATGAAAAACACGCAAAATTATAATTTGCGTAATTACTGGTGGTAGGACCTCTTGTGAGTCCGCGCGGGTGGGTACCACCACCCTGTCTATTTCTGCCGTGAAGCAGTAATGTGTTTCGGTTTGAAGGGTCGGGCAGCCGTTGCAACTATACTTGAGACCTTAGAACTTATATTTCAAGGCGGGTGGCGCATTTACGTTGTGGATGTCTATGGGCTCCAGTAACCATTTAACACCAGGTGGGCTGTGAGCTCGTCCATCCATATAAGCAATAAAAAAAAATATATAGCTGCCCAAATGAATTCTCACACTACCTATCTTAAGAAGGGTTGACGAAGCCCATTGACATTTAAAAGTTATATCCTTCTTTGAGACCCGGACCGGTTCCCCATTGTAAGAGTCGCGGCTGAATAAAATAATAAAGTTGAAAATAGCGATTGCATTGAAAAAATAACAGGATAGTATGTAGTTATGTACGCAGCTGCAGGGTAAAATAGGTAAAATAATCACAAAGATAATTATTGATGACTTTGCAAATAATGATATAAATGGCTTTAAACAACTAACTTTTGTTCTTCAGATAATGATTTTCTCGAATTTAGCATCATAAAATTGTTTGCGTTTGGTTTTTAAACAGCGTTTCGTTTGGTGACCCAAAATTCGATTGATTTCGTTGTTCAAACTTCCTTGTTCATTCTAATGTTGCTCTAAGTTTTGGCAAAAGTGTTATGACCGGCCGCGTGCCTGACGTCAACCCTCCTTGGGAATGCTTTGGTTGACCTTGGGCCAAGGTTGTATTGGCTTTGGTCAGGCTTTGGCTCTTAACCGCCTTCTACGGCACCCGTGAGCTAAGTTTGGATTAGGGTATTCTTAGGCACCCACCACGCGCGACAAGGAAGGCTTTAGAGCAGCGGTCGGGGAACTTTTTTAATTATTACCCCAAAATATTTTTGTGTAAGTTGATGATTACCCCATGGCGATAACAAAAAAAAACGAAATCGCTTCTTTTTAGCATCTTTCATAATTATAGCCCCCATGATAATTTTGAAAAAAAAAAAAAAAATTTTTTCGTTTCGTTTCATCGAGTTTGAATCGTTCTAAAGAAGATTCACTTCAATATATTATATACTTTTTACTCACAAAAGTTTCATTTTTACCCCCCAAAATTTCATTTTACCCCATTTGGGGTAATTTACCCCGCTTCCCTGACCGCTGCTTTATAGGAAGAGGTAGACCTAAGAAGAAATGAATGTATTGCGTGAAAGGCGATATGTGTAAGAGGGGAGTCAGTGAAGAAATGGTACACGATAGAGAAGTATGGAAGGAGAAAACAGGTGACTGGGAGAAAGCTAGGAGAATGATGATGATGATATTAAAATTTCTTTGTTTTTTAATTTTGGCCTATGTTCCAGCTATCGTCAGAACATAGCTCGTCTCCGAAGTCAGTTGTACGACCAGCCTCAGAGTTCGTTGGAGCGCGCCGTGTGGTGGACGGAGCACGTGCTGCGTCACGGAGGAGCCCAGCATCTCCGAGCTGCCGGCGCCAATCTATACTGGTCACAATACTTAGACTTAGAATTGGTTTCAGTATTAATTATCAGTTTCATTGTTATTGTTATGATTTTTACTTCGATAGTTTGGTATTTATGGAGGTTTTTAAATAGTTTCAACGCTACGATTAAGTTTAAGGGAAGCTGAAACCGAGAAATTTGCTAAATATAGATTTAAAATAGTTAATACTCGATCACAATTTTGTTTTATTTTAATACTAGCGACTCGCCCTCGCTTCGCTTCGGAAACTGTAATTTATTATTGATTTTTCCACTATTTAATGGATGTTGTTATACATATAAACCTTCCTCTTCAATCACTCTATCTATTAAAAAAAAACCGCATCAAAATCCGTTGCGTAGTTTTAAAGATTTAAGCATACATAGGGATATAGGGACAGAGAAAGCGACTTTGTTTTATACTATGTAGTGATACATTAAGTGTTCAAAATTTAAATACAATTTGGATATTTAACCAAATGTAATTTCCCTGGACATGACTGTGTTTAAAGCACTTAATAATTGAAATAAATACTTTGCTTTGTTTATAGCATAGACGGATGAACAAGCTCACGGCCTACCTAATGTTAAGTTATTACCGACCCCCATAGATATCTGATATTGAAATTTGAGGTCTATCTATCAATATTATATAGTAATTACATAAATTACAATCTAATAATTTCCGGTTTCGGTTTTATTACAATATTTTATTCCTTAGTGTAAGTAATTTGTGAACAATTTTAATTAATTATAAAATTTGGTACTTTTGAAATTTAAACACCAGCATAGCCGCATCGTTCGACAGGATTACACAAGACGCCTTGTTATCCTTTAGGCCACGATGAAGGGTGGGGTGGGGCTTGAAGGGTGGGGCAGTCGTTGTAACTATACTTGAGACCTTAGATCTTATATCTCAAGGTGGGTGGCGTATATAAGTTGTAGATGTCTATGGGCTCCAGTAACCACTTAACACCAGGTGGGCTGTGAGCTCGTCCACCCATCTAAGCAATAAAAAAAAAGACTTTGAAACAGAAGCTAATTTGGTTTTACTTTATCGATATTTATAAAGCCCATCATACAATTTTTTCTTTAACCCATTGACTGCCGCGTAGATCATCTGTGCCCTGCATGGCGCATTGAAGTAATTATGTCGATTTCTGTTACTAAGCTCCAGGATTGCCTTACTTTGCCTTCTTTCGTTTTTAATGTCTTTAAGTTTCAGTATTTTCCTCCTCCTCCTTGCGTTGTATTCCTCATCGCGTGAGGGTCGTGACCACCCTTTTGTATCACCTTCGCACGCACGATCTTTCACTATCCATTCTTGTCTCTGGCGGTGTGAAGGCGTTGTGAAACGTGGAATCAAGAGCGGTGTGGATCTGGTCGGACCAACGTATTGGGCTGCGCCCCCGAGGTCTTTTCCTATCTACCTTACCGGTCACGATGAGCCTGACGAGATTGTATTTTAGCTCTCTTAAAAACAGATTCATTGTCAGTATCATCAAATTCGTCTTTCCCAGAGTCTACAATATATTCCGGCGCCGTAGTAACACAACCCGAAATAAATTACTTCAGTGCGCCACGTAAGACACCGGTGACTAACATATAAGTCAAAGGGTTAAAGTTGATAAAGACAATATTCCAATTTCGTATCATTTAAAGATCGACCGTTGTGCCGGGTAAATGTATTGTGCATTTCAACGCGAGATAACAAAAAAAATGATTCGAATAATCGTGATAATAATGCTCTTAATCAGAATTCTGCAAGGAACTCAGGCGGCTAGAATTTTAGGAGTGTTCCCTACACCATCAATCAGTCATCAAGTAGTCTTCCGACGTCTCACCTTAGAGCTTCACAAAAGAGGTCACGAACTAGTAATCGTCACAACTGACCCTATGTACCAGAAAGGCGAAGCCCCTCAAAACTATACAGAAATCGACGTGCATGACATTTCGTACACAACTTGGAGAAATGACTTCATGAAACTTTCCAGAGGAAGCTCCGATGACCTTTTCGAACAAACAGCTGTTATATTGGAATTAACTACGAATTTGTTTGAAATGCAACTGAAAAGCAAAGAAGTTCAAGCACTGATCAAAGTTAAAGATGCAAAGAAGTTTGATTTGCTCCTTCTAGAAGCATGCATTAGACCAGCAATTATTTTAACGCACATTTTCGATGCACCAGCAATCCTTGTCAGTTCATTTGGAGGTGTGGAATATGTGTTTCGTATACTTGGCGTCCCAACGCATCCTGTACTATACCCGCCTCCGCTGCACCAAAGAATTTTTAACTTGACATTTTGGGAGAAAACGCACGAAATTTTTACTCATTACTATTTGGAATATCTTTTTTGGAAGGCGGAATATAAGGTCGATGAAATGGTAAAAAGGATTTTCGGACCCAGCACTCCAACTGTGAGAGATACCTATAAAAATGTAGAGATGATACTCTTGAATGCGTATGCTGTTTGGGAGAATAATAGACCTGTCCCTCCTAATGTTGTATACGTTGGTGGCTTACATCAGAAACCAGAGAAGGATTTACCCGGGGTGAGTTTTCAAACATTCTATATCCTATTGGTTACATTAAGGCAATTTTTGACTGGTTGCTCGTGTGGACACGTAAATATATTTTTGAATTCTTATAAAAAATATATATTGTTGAAATAAAAAATATATATAATTTCATCTGTATGTATGTATATAAAAAAGCAATCTCTTCTGAGTGTTCATACATTATTTAAAAAATACTGGCTCTATTTTAAGTGATGTATAATTTAATTCATTCGAGATCCGAATATGATCAGAGGATACAGAGGAAATTACTACAGTTAAAGCAGTTTTAATTATATCTAAAAAATCTCACATCTCAATGAAGCATAACTTTTATGCGAATTACAAATACATTATCATATTATGCATTTGCATGGAAACTATTTGCAGATGCATTTCTTATCAGTGTTAGCGAAATGTGCATGTAAGATAATGTTGGCCACGGTCATCAGTTGCCAGTATTATCTCACATGTATATGAGATATTATTTATCTCCAAATGTACAGTAAAAAATACATATATTACCTACTTACGTTTTCATCACATGTTTATTGCAAGACAAAACTTTCAAGTCTGATAGGCGAGAAACTTAAGGTTCTTTTTTGACTCAGGCTCAGGACACGTGGCGCTTTTTGTACAGTATTTTGCTGCAGGCAATGGCAACTAATGACCTTTGTTTTCTACATCATCGTCAGCCTTTATCTGCCCACAGCTGGACATAGGCCTTCCCCAATGCCTTCCACAGAATGCCGTCCTCATATTTAGACAAACTTATTTCATTTTTATAAAACATAATTATTTACGTTTCGTTTTTTATTCGTGTATAACCAGATTTTTTTTGATGGGTTTACTGCCATTCGGTGTCAAGTGATTACTGGAGCCCTTAAACATCATCAATAAATAAATACTGCCACCCAAATTAAAACATGAATTCTAAGTCTCAGTTTGTATAGTACAACGGTTAGCGTAGTATGGACATGTGATGCGTAGAGAGAAGATGCATGTGACTAGAAGATGTATGGAAATGGTAGTGCAAGGTAGAGAGGGAAGAGGTCGACCGAAGAAGACATGGATGGAGTGTGTGAATGACAATATGTGAGAGAGAGGAGTGAGTGTTGAGATGACGGTTGATAGAAGAGAATGGAAAAGAAAAATTAGCCGTGCCGACCCCACCTAGTGGGATAAGGTGTACAAAAAAAAACCTCTTCGTTTTATAGTACAACGGCTGCCCCCCCCTTCAAACCGAAACGAATTACTGCTTCATGGCAAAAATAAGTGGGCTGATGGTACCTAGCCGTGCAGGCATTCAAAATGCCCTGCTACAAATAAAAACCAGTATCTAAGCACGAGTAAGCACCAGTAAGCAATAAAGAAATTAAATATCCGAACTAGGGAGCAGAAAAATGTGGTCTTTGCTAGAGTAAGACAATTTGATTGGTCGGTATATATGTATATTTTTCCCTTCCTAATCATTGATATCCAAAGGGGTTATTCTACCTACATGTGGACCGGTAGATGAGCTCACAGGCTCAGCCTGAAAGAATTGCTGCAACTATTGCAACACTAGCCCTACTAGCATTGCTACCACGGGATTGGGATCGCGATCTACTAAGAAGATCCGGCGAGAAATTCAATGGGTTCGTCTACATAATAGGAATTCACACTGCATCTTAATTATTATGTGAAATATTTTAATCGTTATTCCATTTTTAGGATTTGAAAGAATATTTAGATTCTTCAAAACACGGCGTTGTATACATCAGTTTCGGCACAAACGTGGAACCATCGCTGCTGCCTCCAGAACGGATTCAACTCCTCATCAAAGTATTCTCCGAGCTGCCTTACGATGTGCTCTGGAAATGGGACCAAGATGAATTGCCGGGCAAATCGGAAAACATCAAAATAGCAAAGTGGCTGCCACAATCAGATTTACTAAGTATGTATGAGTAATTCAGGAACGCTAGTCTTTTTTTTATTTTTTTTTTATTGCTTAGATGGATGGACGAGCTCACAGCCCACCTGGTGTTAAGTGGTTACTGGAGCCCATAGACATCTACAACGTAAATGCGCCACCCACCTCGAGATATAAGTTCTAAGATCTCAGTATAGTTACAACGGCTACCCCACCCTTCGAACCGAAACGCAACACTGCTTCACGGTGGAAATAGGCGGGGAGGTGGTACCTACCCGTGTGGACTCCCAAGAGGTCCTACCACCAGTGATAATTACTGATTTTGAAATAAAATATTTTAGATAAGTTAACGTGCTCACGACTGTAGTAGTATGAATTCGCAATTTCAATTGATTGAGAGGTAAACCGACATTGAAACCTCACATACAATTGACACAGTGCAAAGGTGATAAACCTCTCTGGCTATTGCTTAAAGCTATATCCAATAGTAATAGACATCCTTGTGTAGGATGGACTCTTCATACCAGTTTTTTTAGTGGAAATAGAGACATTTCGTTATGCACCACTAAAACTGTCGTTAACTGTATGAAAAATATAGTTCTCTTATAAGTACTTGTTGTACCTTGATAATAGCTTCCCAAATTAAGAAATTGCACCACTATTATGTTTGATTCTCCATCAACCCCAAATTTGGTGCTGTGTGCTAGTGCGAGTTTTTAACTTCTCGATCGCGTAAAAGTTAACTCAAATTTGTGTGGAGTTGGAACAGCGTTCCTAGCGGCATACGTGACAAACGTTACAACTCCATACAAATTTGAGTTAACTTTTACGCGATCGAGAAGTTAAAAAACTCGCATTAAGCACACTTTTTCATTATAATCGGGTGAGTAATTTTATTATTTTAAAGGAAAAACATTGCTAAACCCCAATAAACCTGTACAAGCATTCCTAAGAAAGAAGCAGGTGTGTAGGTATGTGAAAATTCGTGCTTATTAGTTCATTTTTTTATAAGGGATTTTATGACCTGGTAACTGAGACCTTTGAGTCATGTCTTATTTTAATTTATATTAATATTTTTATGAAAAATGTTATTATGGAGTGAAATGAAATGAAGACGATTAATTTGAGATATTAATCGACTGGGATGAAATTAAATGAAATGAAATGAGATGATATGGGATTAACTATAATTTCAGTAAAATGGTGGTCATTTAGTAAGATTTTTTTCAGTGGACTTTTTGGAGGATCCCGAGAAATTACGTCCAGCGGCTTTGTTTCAATTTCCCACATTCGTGCACTTTCACAGATATTAAACAGTTAATAAACCACCGTTATTACAAATTTAAACCCGAAGAAACACTAAATAGACAAAATAAAACAAATCACACAACTTCACGCCTCGCGTTCCCGCCAAAAAGTCCCCTTATTAGTTCATTGTTTTTATTTTTAGAATACCTTACATTGGCGTAATAGTTTAGGAGTATTAGGGAGTGTCAATGTAGATACTTAGTTGAAGATACTCTTTCATAGAAAAGGACGATTTGGAACATTAAGTGGCTTAGGTCAGGTGTCGTATATCGGTCGTTGGTAACTAACCATCAAGAGATCTTGAGGAGTATATCCGTGTTACTTTTTGTCAGAAGATTTTATTTCTTTGCCTGCTAGCAAATAATAAATATAAATAAATATTTACTAACAATCACGCCACGTTAACTGGTCCCGTGGTAAGTTCGTAAAGAACTTGTGTTGCAGGTATAATAACGGAAATAAATGTAAGATTTTTTATTATACACATACACATATTTTAATATACATCCATAACCTTGGATAAGACATTTATATTTATCATACAAATATCTTCCCTTGGCGGGATTCGAACCCGCGACCCCCTTGTGTAGTGACCATGTCACTTACCACTACACCAGACGGCCGTTTGGTGGATATAATGGATTCGCAAATAACAAACAATAATAACAGAAACGATTCTTCCTATTCATCATTCATTTACTAAGACCAATAATCCTTATCATTTTTATAATAAGTTACTGAAAATTATTATCTAATTATATTAGTATTCAAATCATTAAAGATAATCCAATAGTTTGGTGATTACACATTAACAGGCACACGAGCATACGACCTAACTATTGGATAGTAGTCAATTATGCTCATGGGCATCAGCATAAGGCTCTCGCTCTATTTCTTTTTGCTGCAAGTGGAATGATGAATTGTAGAATTTTCTTTAAGGGCATCCAAAGATCAAGGTGTTTATAACTCAAGGAGGTCTGCAATCGACCGAAGAAGCAATCACAGCGGGAGTGCCACTGATTGGGATACCTATGTTGATGGACCAATGGTACAATGTCGAGAAATACGTTCAGCTAAACATTGGCTTGAAACTCGATTTGGGTTCCATTACAGAGGATTCTTTCAGAAATGCTATCAACACAGTTACTGGTGATGAAAGGTGAGCTCATAAAAAAGTTCATCTTGACTGTTTTTGGTTTTACTCCAGGAAATTTAAGGTTTTTTTTTTTATTGCTTAGATGGGTGGACGAGCTCACAGCCCACCTGGTGTGTACCTGGTAAGTGGTTACTGGAGTCCATAGACATCTACAACGTAAATTCGCCACCCACCTTGAGATATAAGTTCTGAGGTCTCAGTATAGTTACAACGGCTGCCCCACCCTTTAAACAGAAACGCATTACTGCTTCACGGCAGAAATAGGCAGGGTGGTGATACCTACCCGTGCGGACTCACAAAGGTCCTACCACCAGTAATTACGCAAATTATAATTTTGCGGGTTTGATTTTTATTACACGATGTTATTCCTTCACCGTGGAAGTCAATCGTGAACATTTGTTGAGTACGTATTTCATTAGAAAAATTGGTACCCGCCTGAGATTCGAACACCGGTGCATCGCTCAACACGAATGCACCGGACGTCTTATCCTTTAGGCCACGACGACATCAAATTTATGTACTATCTTGCAAGCTATTATCATTTTTTTATTTAATGAAGGAAGGTTAATTTTTTTATTGCCCCTGTATGCAGACAAGCATACGGCCCACATGATGGTGAGTGGTTACCGTCGCTCATGGACTTCAGCAATGCCTGGGGCAGAGCCAAGCTGCTGCCTACTGCTTTATACTCTCCACAAGCCTCTTTTAAAGAAAGACATGTCATGGCGCTCGGGAAACACCGTGGAGGGGAGATAATTCCATTTCCGGATGGTACGTGGCAAAAAAGACCTCTGGAAACGCACTGTCGATGAACGCAGCGGTTCCAGATAATATGGATGAACTCTGCTCCGATGGCCGGAGGTGCGATGATAAAAATGAGATGAGGGGATCATCTCAAACAATTCCTCAGAGCACTCACCATGGAACATACGGTACAAAATACAGCGGGAACTGAAGTCTCTCCGCAAACCCAAAAACCCCAAAACCCGCAAAATCCCGTAGTTAGCCTAATTAACCTTACTAGAGGTCCCGCAGTAGTCGAAATTCGACTATAATTAATTGGAATTTTAAGTTTGTACACTATTATGATTGTATTTTATACTTCTTAATCACAAATTTCGCCAAGGCTACACTATAAAAAATATTAATAAAGACAAACAATATTTAATCTATTCTCAATTTGACAACAGACGTCAAGAACAAAAGTTTGACAATAAATAGTATGCATGCGTGTGTGCGTCAAATAAAGGGTATGTAGTGTGTGTAATGTTTTCTTTTTTGATTTAATGTATCTTTTGTACATTATTTTAAAAAAATATTAGCATTGTGCACTTCTTCTCTATATTCTCTATAAGTGTGGAAAATTTCATACTCCTCCGTCCGCGCAATTTTCGTAAAAAGGGATACAAAGTTTTTGCTTCACGTATTAATATATAGATTTATGTTCCAGCTATCGTCAGAACGTTGCTCGTCTCCGTAGCCAGGTCTTCGACCAGCCCCAGGGCCCTCTTGAGCGCGCCGTGTGGTGGACTGAGCACGTGCTGCGCCACGGAGGGGCCACTCATCTCCGAGCCGCAGGAGCCTTGAAATCTTGGACTGAATATTTTGAACTAAATTTAATTGCAGTATTATTAGTTAGTTTCTTAATGGCTATTGCATTCATTGTAACATTGATATCTTCGTTGATGACGTCATTGAAAATGTACTTTAATTACGATGACAAAATAAAAAAGCATTGAGTATTCTTGTAATTGTTATCCCATAAGGGATTTCTGAATAGCCTAAATATACATAATACATAATATATAGGGCATATACTATGATTTATGTTTTCAAAAAAAGCTAGATTTTCATAATATAAATAAACATAATTTTAGGGGCGTTAAAAATATTGTATTCTTTTTAATTGCCTTTTTAGGCAGACGAGCATACGGCCCACCTGATGGTAAGTGGTTACTGTCGCTCATGGACGTCAGCAATGCCAGAGGGAGAGCCAAGCCGCAACATACTTTTAGCGTTAAAAATACACATGAAATTTGGTGTTTATACATTAGATAGTAAGCGTGATTCAAAGACACACACAGGTGTTCTTTGGCGATTTGATTGAAAATTAATTTGAATTCGTAGTTGTTAACAAAAAAAACAGATTACTTTAATATTTATTAGCCTTTTTTGCGTCAGTTATAAATTTGGTAAATTACGTAATAAAATATTTTTGAATTATGAAGAAATCTTTCATTAAATACTCCCAACCGACCCTTCCATTACAGTTTTGGTGTAACGTGATATACTTATGGATTATGATTTATGGTCAGTTTTAGAGAGTACGGCTTGCTCTAAACGCCATGATAATTTGGAGTCCCTAAAACAATCCGTAAGATTGGCAGTGAAAATTTTTCCCATGGAAAGAGTGCGTGCTTCTATTGATAACTGGCCTCAACGTTTAAAGGACTGTATTGCAGCCAATGGAGACCACTTCGAATAAGCTATTTATATTTTAAATTGTTTTATATTTATGTATTAAATTAACACACTGTAAAAGTAGTAAATGTTATTTGCAATAGTTTTATTTTTATTTTTAATTGTAACAGTATTTATGGCCAGACTAAGTATACATACTTATCTTTATACTAATAATCGCGTCCCACTGCAATTTAAAAACGAATGTGGTGCATTTGAGGTGCGTTGAGGGCTGAACGACCCATCTGGTGCTAAGTGTATCCTACTGTATCCTAAGTGTATCCTTTGAATTGGTGGTAGGACCTCTTGTGAGTCCGCGCGGGTAGGTACCATCGCCCTGCCTATTTCTGCCGTGAAGCTGTAATGCGTTTCGTTGAAGGGCAGGGTAGCCGTTGTAACTATACTTGAAACCTAAGAGCTTATAGGGTGGCGCATTTACGTTGTAGATGTCCATGGGCTCCAGTAACCACTTAGCACCAGGTGGGCTGTGAGCTCGTCCACCCATCTAAGTAATAAAAAATTAAAAAATTGCCAGGGGCAGAGGCAAGACGCTGCCTACAAAAGTTTAATAAATTGTATTCCGCGTGTCCCAATTATCATACCGGATCGCATCAATGCTTTGCGACCGAAATATGCAGGACGAATATTGTTATAAAATATAACATTCATTACAGCGAAACAAAATTGCTCACCATTTTGCGTCCTAACAAAATTTCCTCCTACACATAACGCCGAAAGCAAAAAAGTTTAACATCTCAGATGCCTGAGCGTCTATCGTAGTAGAGACCGAGTTTTCTTTACGATTAACTAATATGTTACTGCCCCAAATCTAATATAAACCAATCTAATAAAATGCGCATACTGTGAGCCAAGGGTCATATGGATGTAATATATGGAAGTAATGATACTTTCCATCCATTCTATTTGTCATTGACTACCCACGTTTTGAAACTTCTGCGGTTTTTGCACTGTCAAAGAACCTAGCTTTTTATTACAGTAGTAGGTTATGTGAGTCGACTATTATCAAAGCCGGCAATGTGAATTTTGGACAATTATTGGTAAATCAGAAAAACGAATTATTGACTTTGTATTCCATTGGCAGTCACAAAACTCTTCTGAACGACATCTTAGATAAATAACAGGTTAAGTATTTACCTTTATTTAATGCAGTTTGTGAACCGTATTCTTTGAAGGAGACGATTATATTCAAATCAATCTCTATTGACATATCAATAACATTTTTTTGTCCAAATGCACAGATTGCCACCTTTGATAATAGACGACTCATGTGACGACGGGTTTTATGTGTCTTTGGACAAATAAATTAAGACTAGTATAATCACGTGCCTATCAACGTTATATAGTTATATATAATATTTATTGGATATACATATGTACGTACATACGTGTGACCTGGTATTTATTTCAATAGTTAAGTTAATTTTTTTATAAGTTATTTTTTTTTTACACGATGCTAATTATTCGTGGAAGTTGTCGTGAGTGTGGCGGGCAGCCATCATAGAACACAAGATATTTGACAGATGCCTGAATCTTGCTGAGAACGTTTTCCAGATAAACTTGCATATATACAAGTTCCGAACAACATTCGGACCGTTGGTCTACCGAGCTATATTACCTGCTCGGTGGAAGACCTTTCCTCCATCGTTAAACCTCCCAAAATGAGCATGAGTATTTTCGTAAAAAAAAGTAGGTACTTGTCTGATGGATTCGAACACCGACTTAGTCGATGTTTCGATTTCGTGTACACTGGGCAGTTTTTTTTTATTGCTTAGATGGGTGGACGAGCTCACAGCCCACCTGGTGTTAAGTGGTTACTGGAGCCCATAGACATCTAAATGTAAATGCGCCACCCACCTTGAGATATAAGTTTTAAGGTCTCAGTATAGTTACAACGGCTGCCCCATCCTTCAAACCGAAACGCATTACTGCTTCACGGCAGAAATAGGCGGGGTGGTGGTACCTACCCGTGCGGACTCACAAGAGGTCCTACCACCATTTTTTGGGAAATATCAAATGCGGTGCGAATATCAGTTCTCTATTAACACACCCACTCATGTGCTCCGATAAGCACCTTCCCATACAATAAATCAATGTTTTGAAGTTATACACAAAAAGTTATACACGAGAAGATACTGTGTAAGGTAAGATGAAGACAAGGTCTTTTCGCTGGCCCGAAAATTCTTGCTCGAATTTACAGAGAAAACACACTATGTTTATGGAATGAGTGTGATGTTTTTACATTATTCTACATGACAACACGGCATTATAGTAACAAAATAAATATGTATTTAAAGTAAACAGTGAGCTTGTTTGTTTTGTATTAGTCTGCCATTCTTTTAGAATTTCGTTCATTAAATGTTTTTGTTCGTGCGGTTTTATTGTATAACATCTGCGCATAACAATGGCCTAAAACGGCACTATCCTAATTATTTCGTGACGATGTCGCTGTGAAAACTATCTGAAGCTTACATTAGTAATGAGTGAGATTTCGACCAAGTAGGTGATGGTATTTTAATATCTTTTAATATCTATGGGTATCAGTAGCCGCCTTGTACTCTATTCTCCAAGCAGAAGCAGATAGGTCCAATGGCATAAGTCACGAACTTCCTCATTAAGGAAGATGTGGTGGATAAGGAACTGGTGGTAGCAAGCCTTGTGGGTCCGCACGGGTAGGTAGCACCACCCTGCCTATTTCTGCCGTGAAACTGTAATGCGTTTCGGTTTGAAGGGGTGGGGGGGGGCAGCCGTTGTACTGTAAAAACTGAGACCTTAGAATACATATCTCAAGGTATTTACGTTGTATATGTCTATCGGCTCCGGTAACCACTTAATATCACGTGACGACCGTGACCTCGTCCACCCAAGCAATGAAAAAAAAATCATATTATCGAGGAATAAATTTCAATTCTACTACTTCGTCTATTTCAGTCGCCAAGCAGTCGTGATTGGGATTTTCATTAGTAAACTTACTTACCAAGACAATGGAGATCTTAAAGTGGTAACCGGGCTGGTAGACAACAAATGCCGCCCACTTCTTTGAGACGAAGTCCAAATTCAATTAATATGACGCGCAAAGATATCCTTATCGCGCCATACTTTTGTATGTAAAAGTAATAAATGTTATTTGCAATAGATTTTTTTTTATTTTTAAATGTAACAGTATTTATGGCCAGACTAAGTACACATACTTATCTTTATACTACTAATCTAAGTGGTGCATTTGAGGTGCGTTGAGGGTTGAACGACCTAACGACCCATCCGCTGCTAAGTGTATCCTACTGTATCCTAAGTGTATCCTTTGAACTGGTGATTGGACCTCTTGTGAGTCCGCGCGGGTAGGTACCATCGGTCTGTCTATTTCTGCCGTGAAGCTGTAATGCGTTTCGATTTGAAGGGTGGGGTAGCCGTTGTTACACCTTTGTATGTTGAACTCCCATTTAAAGTACTTGAAACCTAATAATATGTCATCTTAAATACCGGACAATAAAAATCGCTGGTAAAGACTGGAAGACAATTGCCAAAAATAAAGACAAATGGAAAAGTTCTGGAGGAGGCCTTCACATAAGAGGGGTTCTTGCATGCCTGCATGCTAAATTAATATAACCTCTTTATATATTTTATGTTGATCCGACTAATATTATACACAATTTATTAAGAATTCTATCATAATTAGTATCTATTATTATTAATGTATTATCAACAATTTTTATAATTTTCGTAATGTCACTTTTTTTAAAATGCAAGAAATAAAAGGCTTTTTATTTTATTTTATTTATTTATTTATAAATACCGGACAACATGACAGCAGATCCAGTAATAATTTAATTCATAACATTCAAAATTCCACTTCAGAGTATTGCAATGTTCGAAACATTATTTCCGAGTCGATTGTCTGAAATATTGCTTCAGATAAAACGAAGCGAGCAATTGTAACATTTCTCCCAAAACAAACACAACTTTCTGAATCAAGTTTGTTATTTGTTACAAATTGTTACGCTTGTAAACGAAATTTCGATTTTGATAACAGTCTTTGAAATCGAACAGTCGCGTTTTGGGTCTACACTCAAAGTCGTATAGACTGGGCAGTTTTTTAATTGTCTAAACATTACATTTAACACCCCATGTGAGTTCGGAATAATGACTGATTAAATGTTTCAATAGAGATGAGCTTACATTTAGCAATTTGCGGTTCTGCGTATTTTATCAGGTTTAAGATCATCTCTATAGGTCTGGTCCTTAAGTTCAAAGTCGCTCAGCGTGCTATGGAAAGGGGTATGCTCGGAGTTTCTTTGATGGATCGAGTTGGAAATGAGGAAATCCATCGAAGAACCAAAGTGAGCGACACAGCCCTAAAGATTAGTAAGCTGAAATGGCAATGGGCCGGATATACGTGTCGCCGAACTGATGGTTGATGGAGCAGACGCG